TGTTTTTTGTTTTTTTTTTTTTTTTTTTTTTTTTTTTTTTTTTTTTTTTTTTTTTTTTTTTTTTTGTATCTACTACTGCGGACATGTTTATTGTAAAAATTAAACAAAACAATCCTCCCTTCTCTTTCCCCCCCTCAACAAGAAAAATGTTGAAACGACAGTGTCATGCGAGGCTGGCTGGCACTGAAAACATAAAGACGAAGTTCTTCTGCCATCTGAATGTCTGCATTTTTGCATATATCCTCAGAAATCTCACAAGCACCGAAGCAGGTTTTACATTTTAGTATTTGAGCTACATCAGGATTTAAATAAGTGAAGTGTATCTAATCACACCTATCAGTAATGGGCCTCTTTCTTTCAGTGGGACCTATATTATATACTACTTAAATTGCTGGGCTATCTACCTCCAATTCGGACGGAGATATACATGTCTGCTGCCCTTTGGGCAAGAGGAGGAATAAACACGAAGAGAGAACACGCTGCTTCGGGGATCACCGCCACTCCTGATGTCCCACACGGCACCAATGGGCATCTCAAGGAATCAAAATGTGTTTTCGACCAAGAAATGTCTGACGGCAACCGGCACCCGCTCGCCCGCCCGCGGGCTGGAGCCGGGGCTGCGAGGCAGAGCCTCTCCCCAGGTCCCCCACCGCAAGAAGCCGTCGGTTGCAGAAATAAGTACAGCTATTACAACCAAATCTACTAACAGTCTAAATAATTAATTGAACCATTGCTCTTTGACCCTTAGAAAGTCCAGTAGGGACCCGTTTGTAGTAATAATACCCCCGAATGAGCCCTTGTCAAATATTCATTTAGTGGTTAATGTGAGCGATTTCCCCCTGGGACAGTCTGTAATACCAGCTTCCCAGCTTTGGCAAGAAACCCTGCTAATCTACCTCTCCAGTTCCGCAAAATATTTTAACACCCCAGTACTTAAAAAGCTGTAAAAAAATCACAGGGGAAACTATAATCTTATCCTTGGGTTCATTTCGGCTCTCTAGAAGGTTAGGGAAACATTACACTGGTGCTCTTGGGCCGAGCATCACCCTGGCTATAAGGAAGACAACAATTCACGAAAGGGAAACCACAGAGAGCCCCAAAGGTCTTCAATAACCAAAATAAAAACATACCCACGAGCTCTGCTACAAATTTCAGCTGCCATAAACAAAAGCCCGGGATAATGGCTTAGGTGTAAATGGCGTTTATTGAATGCGTTGAATTTAAAATGAGCAGTGGACAATGGCGTTCCTCCAAGTAACACTTTAAATATAAAACCGTTCAGCTGTACGTGTAAAATGCTTTGAGTTATCCTCCCTAAACGGATAAATGGATGGATGGATGGATGGATGGATGGATGGATGGATGGATGGATGGATGTAAGGAATCTGTCCAAGGGATATCAGGTTTCAATCACACATATCCTGCATCGTACTTCGAAATCTAAGCTTAAACAAATTGCCCATATAAAAAGTTGCTGAATTCACTAAGACTGAATATGTGGCTCAGTGCCTTTTGTTTAATGGTATTAGCTCGCCTTCTCTATGCGAATTGTAAAAGTACCAACATTTCCAAATACCCCCCTCGAATATTTTAGTTAGCACTTCAAAAAGGGGCCAGGTTTTATTGCTGTTAATTGGCTAAGATTCGCTTTTAAAAATGGAATTGTGATATCGATTGGGCTTTTATTCCTGGTTCTCTTTTCTCAGCGAGGCGAGCGGGAGCGGGGATGTGGGCTCGTTACCACGTGAGTAATCCCCAGATGCATTGCAAACGCTCACAGCTTTGAAAAAGAATATTGTACTCGTTGCATTAACGTGAAATACATAGAAAAGGTTGAGAATCTGCAAAAAATGTTGTCCTGCTCAAGTACCGCGACAGTGCAGAAATAAAAGGGACAAAGGGAGCTAAACACAAAACCAGGCAGTGAGCAAATCTCCACATCTCTTAGTCTGTCCCTGTTAGTTTTCATCTGGACACCAGGCTTCGAGGATGGAGGCCAGAACTGAGCCCAAGAAATTGCACTACCAAATAAAAGCCACAACCAGACAGGTAACTTTTTATGTGTGCGCCCGTGTGTGTGGGTTTTTTTACCCAGCCTTCTTCCTCCCCGAGCTAAAGAGAAATCCAGTGACTGACAAGAAATACTAGAGAGAAAAGCTGAGCAACACTTGCTCCATTCCGGAGTGGCCACTTTTTGCCCTGCCTAAATCAACCATCACACACTTTCCTTGCCACACACCACATGCCATTACCAGAACACACGACCGGTTTGCAATCACAGTGCTCCAAATCCCAAATTTCATACATTTTTCTAAAAACCTATTATTATTTGCTGTTATTTGCACCTCCGTCTCTCGCGTTTCCCAAGGGAAACCGCAGCCTCGTTAGCAGCACCAAATAAACGCTGGGGCTTGGCGGGGGGACAGGGGCTGTCGCAGCGGGTGCACAGCTCTACTGCCCATCGCCCCCTGCTCTGCCCAGGGTCGCGGGCCCTGTCGCCGGCCAGGGCCTCCAGCGCGGAGCGGAGCCCAGTCCTCGGCAACTGCGGCTACGACGGTACAAAGTAAAACTCTACCTGGCACGGATGGCAGATCTCTCCTCCTATTTGGCGGGCGCCACCGCTTCTCTTTGGGGCTGTGACCGGCTGCAGAGAGCGTCCAAAACGGGGCTACACCGCGCTGGCAATTTAAGAAATAGGATTCAAGAAAGAGCTGTGATAAAACGTGAAAGGTCTCTGGCATTCGACTGTTTTTGTTTGTTTGTCCGTTTTTTGTTGTTTCTTACCTCTGCCCGGCCTAGCCCACCCCCGCCCCCACCTCTCACCACCTCCTGAGCGGCCCAGGAGCCGGGAGAGGAAAGTTTGGGAAGTGGCGGACAAAGGGAGCGCTCAGCCGCGCCAGGCCGGCCGCGCTCGGGTTCCCCGGTCGTGGGAAGCCGGCTCCCCTCCTGCCTGCCCCAGAGGAGGGAGGCACAGCTGGGAAAAGACAGAAACGCATTATCTGTCTCTGGAGCCGGGAGGCCGCCGGCAGCGCCCGCGGCTGGGCCGCCGCTCCCGCCGGCCCCGCCAGCCCCCGGCTCGGCCCCTCCGGGGGCAACAAGTGGTCAAAGGCAGCGGCGACAGAACCCCCCGCACCCCGTCGCACCCCGCGTCCTCGGGAGGGAACTGGGAAACAGCCTCTCACTCCGCACTCCCGTCCTTCCCGAAAGGAGGAACAGGCGGCTACTCCATTAAAGCTATCGTACTTTCTCTCTATATAGATACATCTTTATAAAAATATTCATGCGTTATATATTTATAAATATATATATATATATGCATTATTTATCGTATTCGGTTGGCTATGGTGATACCTTTTACTGCATGAATTATTTAAAAAACATCTTGCATTACAAAAATAAATCCAAGACTCGAGAGGAACTTCAGTGTCCATATGTCAAAAATTTATTTATCTCAAACTGTGCATAATGGAGTAAAAACTTAACTTGAATATGTACCTGTTATAAGGATGGTATTAGTTCAAATATATACATGGACTGTCGGCAGACTGATTTCAAATAATACAGAGCCGAATCTTTAAAATACAACTACGGAAAATGAGGAGAAAAAAAAAAAAAAAGAACTTAAAATATCATCACAATAAATTTACAGAAATATTACAAACCATAAGAAAATATTTCAAACACAGTAATTTCAGGGTT